TTGGTGCCCCCTCCTCTCTCTCTCTCTCTCTCTGTAATCGATCTCTGTAATCGACCTGTAAGAGCTCCAATTCTTTACATAGATTGAACTTGTTTGTGTTTCAATCTGTGTTTTACATCCACAAAAGCAAACTAATGCGTTACATAGATTGAACTTGTTTGTGTTTCAATCTGTGTTTTGCATTCACAAAGCAAACAAAAAAAACAAAGCAAACTAATGCTTGTTTCAATTTTTGTTTTACATAGATTGAACTTGTTTCTTATCTTAATGCGTGTTGGAATTGAAGAATTCTTTACATAGGTTGAACTTGTGTGTGTATATATGTATGTCTAATCTAATGCGTGTTGGAGATGAAGAATTGGGGATGCGGTGCACATTCCAGGGAGTGTATTTCTAATTCACCCTATTATGAGGCAATATTGATTGGTTCTTAGTTGGAAGAGTATTAGACATGTATATGTGAATTTTTGTAATCACATAGGTCGTGATCTTTGTGTTTACTATAACCTCTTAATAGATCAATGTCTTTTGTGTATTTTACAAGTTGAGAGCTTTATTTCTGCTCCTACGGATGGACAAAACACCCGTGGTCTAACAATGGACCAAGCACCCTCCGATATGGTTTGGCATCTATCCCATTTTCACACCAAACTATGAGGTAACTATCGTCTATCATTTTGTCTATCTCACAGAAAACTGAGTCACCAATATTTCTACCTTCTAAAACCGCAGAGAAATGCAATCTTTCTAATATAACATCAAAACCTATTTTGTAAAGCACAGTAAGCAAGCATTCCATAGCAAAAGTCAGAGTCCTTGTTTTGACAAAATGATAAATAATAGATGAACAACTCAAATCATATATTAGCCTTCTAAGAAACCTTCTGATTGATTAGAACTTCAGTTTATGCTTTTGTCCCTAGACCTTTTCAATTGGATTTCTAAGAAAATGGTGTTGATCATCATCTTTGGTTTGCGAGGAAAGAGTATTAGGGAAGGCCACTGAAGCCCTTCCTTTGCCAGCATTCTCAAACTAGGCATGTCAAATACAAAGCCATAGCGTGGTGTTGAAGTCGATTGTGGTTGATATTTTCATAGAGTTTTAATTCATATAATGAACTATGTTGAACTATTTTGATCCTATCTTGAGTTTTAACTCATATAATAAACTATGTTGAAGTGAATTTGGATACTTTGTGTTTTAATTTTTGTAAAATTTTATTTTCTATATACTCTTTGTGGTTTGGGAGTAGAGTGCCTTTGATGTGTGGATTTTAAATTTTTATTTTATTTTATTTTATTGGATGACAAATTTAATTTTTGTGCATTTTAAGCTATGAAATTAAATGGTTACAAAACATTTTCTAAATTGACTTTTAGCAACGAAAATGTGTGGTAGAGAAAGTTATTTGTCTTTTAGCGACCAAATATAGTTGTCGTTAAAAATGTCATTATTTTGTTTTTTGCGACCAAATTGGGACATTTTGTGACGAAGTATTAGTGGCCAAGTGCTTTAGTGTTGTATAATCAAACATTTTGTGACTACAAAATTGGTCGCTAATTGTCATTTTCAGAGACATTTTTAAAAATTCGTCGCTAAAGACTTTTCTAGACGCACTTTTAGTGACTTTTTTAGTGACGAAATTAATTTTGTCACAAAAACTATTTAGAAACCAAAATAATGGTTTTAGGGACCAAAATAATTGGTCGCCAAAAGTCTTATATGTTGTAATTGATACAAAAACTTATAACTCATAATCAAACACACAACTCAAAATTTTATTAAAGCTCATAAAAAAATTTAAAAAATTGGAAAATATATTTTTTTTAATATATTAAAATTAACATGTCAATTTTGCAAAAAAAAAAAAATGCACTGTTTCGGTCAACCGGCCGGACAACTAGTTAGCCCAAATTTTTTCGCCTTCGACTGAGTTTTCAAAAGTGAATGTGGAATTAAATTTTGAAATGCATAAGCAAACATCACGTGAGAAATAAGTTTTGTTGTACCAAACAAAATCTTTTTTCTCTCTTTCTCTCTCTCTTTTTTTTTTTTTTCTGTCTCTCTCCTAACTAGTTTGGGTAGTTTAAAAAAAGCCAAAAAGTCAAAAAGTTACTCAAAAAGTTAAAAAGTCATCACTATTCACCAAAAGTCAACAATTACGGCTGCACAATTCCCAATTGTAATTTTCCCCTACAAACTAATTTTTACAATTTTTTATTACACATTTTTCCATAAAAAGTCAAAAGTTAACCTAAACATTCATATTTTCAACCTCAACTTTTTAGTCTAAAAAGACAAAAAGTGCACTTATTTAGTCTTCCCAAACTTGGCCTTAATCGTTCTTTTTTTGTTTTCTAAAATTTCCAAACTGTAAGTTGAAAGCATCTCAAATCCTAACACATTTAAATTTGATATTTGATGAAAAATTTGGTAAATATGTGATCTAATTTATTCATCAAACTTATATAAAATCAAGACTTAATCAAAAAATTCATCAAATCGATAATGAACACAATTTTTCATCAAATTCCAAACAATTATTTTTTACTTAAGTTTGATGTAATTATTAGCGCTATATTTGGTTGGGAAATTTAGAAAGAGATTTAGAAAGGAAAATATAGGTGAAATATGAATAAAATATACGTATATTTCACCTAATTTTACACATTTTTTTCAAATAAATTTTCAAATTCCCCAACCAAACACAATGTAAAAGATAAAAGATTGAAAATATAAATAAATAAAAAAATTATCAGAATTGGTTAAAGGAGATTTTTGGAATGTAATAGGTACTAAATGAACTATATCACATTAAACTTTTAATCTAAGGCCTAGTTTGGGAAGACTAAGGCTCTGTTTGTTTGTATTCCCAAATCAATTTTCTACGTGTGTTTTGGAGCATCATGTTTGGTTACGTTTTCAAATCAATTTTCTACACTCTCTGCAGAGAACTCTGCGCACACAGGCGTGTTTTCTGTCCACCGGATGACCACCCGGTAGACCACCCGGATGACCACCCGGTAGACCACCCGGATGTCCACCCGGATGTCCGGCTGATTTCCAGATTTTTTTTTTTTTTTCAATTGATTTACATAATCGGGACAAATATTTTCTGAAAATTTTTAAATTTTTTATATGCTTTAAAATAATTTTGAATTGTATATTTAGTTATGAGTTGTAAATTTTTGTATCACATATCAAATGTCACATCAATAATTCCCCACTCAAATCAAACCTCTTTTCCAAAACTATTTTCAAAACTCTTTACCAAACAAATTTTCTACACTCAAATCATAATTCCACAACACACAAACTCAAAATACAACTCATACTCTCAAATCACATTTACAAAACTCTACCAAACACTACCTAAGTGATTCGTGATTAGATCAAGATTTAATTATTCCAATTCCCAATCAATTAAAACTCACAATCTAAATCATCAAGCACGTATTTGAAGTGATGTGTTAGAGAGGTGATGTGACTTAAATAAAATGATGTGACTTAAATAGGATAGTGACTTTTTGACTTTTTATCTTTTTTCAATCATGCCAAACTTGGCCTAAATTATTAAATAAATTTTCTGAAAAATAAAGGAATGGTGGGAAATATTTTAGAGTAGATTTTCAATAAGCGGGTTGATTTGGGAATTAATTTTTGTAGTAATTTTTTTTGATTTTTTATAAAAAAGAAAATTGTAAAAATAATAAATTAACTTTTTATAATAATTTTTAAATTTTTTTACTAAAACATCAACTTCAAAAATAAATAAATAAATAACTCACTTTTCAAGTGGGCAGGAGTTTACGAATAAAGGATTTTTGTTTGCACACCCTTAACTACACATGACCCGCTTCCTCAACTTCGGCATGCGACTGTCACTGTTGTTCTTTATTTTATTTATGTTTTATATGTAATCACTCTTTCTATTTTTATTTTATTTTTTACATTTAAAAAAAATTAAAAATTATTAAAATAACATATTTCTAAACAAAAGGCTTATTTTATTGTTTGATTGACTTTTTTAGCTTGTTTTTTTATTTTTTTTTGACTATTTTAGTTCAGGACTAAAAGTTTGTTAGCTTGGTTTTTTTAATTTTTGTAAAAGAAAAATTAAAATGATTATTATTTAAATATGACATTTTATCTTATTGACTTATATAGATTATTTTGTCTTTCGTACTTTTTTAGTCAAAAAGCCCTAGCCAAACAAAGTCATTCGACAATTAAGAAAAAAATTAATTTATTGTCTTATTTTGAATCATATCATCTTTTTATTTTTTTTTATACATTTTTTAAAAAAGATTAAAAAGTTATTTTTTTTTCTTACTTCTTAAAATAAACCCAAGTCTCTATAGTCCGTAATCCGAACAAACCTTTTAAAAACAAGTCTTATTTAATCATGAGGAAAGTCTAACCTAAAATTTTAGGATAAATTAAAAATACATTTCTTGAGATTTAATTAAAATATGAATCATTTCCTGTAATTCTGAAAATTACATTTCATGTCCTGAGATTTATAATTTCATAATAAATCACTCATTTTATTAATAAATCATGAAATCAATTAACAGTTTTTAATAATGTTTCAATTAATAATTTAAGTAATTTTATTATTGTATAAGAGAACAATTATAAATTTTATTTTTTTCAATTAATTCTGTTAAATAAAATTTTTTAAAAGAAGAATATTTATAATTTTCTAAATTACAAAAAATAATTTATACTTTAAGCAAAACTCAAAGATGCATTTATAATTTATCCTAAAATTTTAAAAAGGAATAAACCCCAAAACTCAGACCAGATCCACTACAACCCAAAACTCAGACCCGATTCAGTACGCTAAACCATTGGGTTTCTGTTGTTTTCTTTGTTTAGTAAAGTATTTTTGTTTTTGTTTTTTCCTCCACTCTCTTCTTAGACAAGTTATTTTAAACAAGTTCTTGACCAGCTGTCGCTTCAACTCCACCTGCCAAGCGGGCCATTCCCAGTTAGCCCTCCTCCACTACCCCTGTGTCTTCTCTCGCTCTCTCTCTCATCAAATTTTTAAATTCCCAACCTCCGAACCAATCATCCCCTAAAGCCCTACTGCAAAGCTCTCTGCGAGTGCCTTTGGGGATCTAACCACATGAATCTGATTCCTCCCCTGTTCTGAGAAGGAGATTGATTACTCATCACATCAATCAATCGAGGTAAGAATTTCTCAAACTCCGATCAAATTCACTAATTTCTAGCACTTTTATTATCTCTTTCGTTTATGTTTCAAGATTTAGATCGGTTGTTCTCATTTACGCCTCTTTTTCTCTCCGCATTTTTATCTGCTTTTCTTGCTTCAGAAAGCAAGCTTTTGCGTTGATGGACCTTCTTAAAGCAATTAAAAACACTTCCAAAACGATAAACAAAGCACAATTATTATTATTGTTAGTAAGTACAGCATATTTTTTTGCAAATAGTTGGGATTTTTTATTTTGCGTGGATTTTCGAGACTCTAAATTTGTTTTGTTTTGTTTTTCTTTTTTTTCCTCCTTTGAATTGAATCATGGAACTTTCATAACGATAAACAAACACAATTACTATTATTGTTTGTAGACACATATATCATTTTGCAAGCAGTTCAGATTTATTTTATATATATATATATATATATTTCCAGTTTTGCATCTTTGACTAGATTCTAAATTTAAAAAATTTCTTCTTTGAATTGAATCGTGATCCATCTAGACAGCATCAGTCAATCAAATATAATGTTGGATGGAAAGTTTCTTCTTCTTCTTTTGGATTGTGAAATTTGGAAAATTTTGGATCTTAATGTATAATCTAGCTGTGTGGCCGTGGGCTTTTTTTATTTTTTCTGAAAATTTGTACCCAACTATTTGGTGCAGCTTATGAGGCAGAAACCGTTGTTTATTATTGAGAAGTAGGGGAATGGGTACTTTTACTTTATGCTTTTTTATTATCAATTTTCAGCTTGCAAGATTCATTTCTTATTCTTTTCCTACACTACACATTATATACATTTTAGCCATGGTTGCTGAACTTTGCATGCTTTACTCAATGGATAAAAGAATTGGTGAATGAAATGTCTTCTTTGTAGTTAAATGAGAATTTTTTAATCTGAAATTCGTTCATTTGACTCTTTTGGTGTTTTTATTTACTTGTATAAATGGGGAGGAAAAAAAAAGAAGAAAAAAAGGAGAGAGAGTTGCTACTGGAAAATTTTGATCAGAGGTGAATAGTGTCATGTTGTGTTTAGCAGTATGAAATCCTTGCCTTGTATTTGGAATCGAAGGCTGTCTTAGTTTGATTTTGTTGTGCCCACAAAGCATAAATAGAAATCCAAATCACATATGATGTATCTTATATTAACCTGCGGCTGCTGCATATATGTTTTGGGAAAAATTACAAAGTAACTTGATATCTTATATTAGCTCCCTAGCTATTGTCACATGCAGCCTAGATTATGTGTAAAAATTATGTTTACAATGCTCAACTTAGTAAAATATTGATCATGGTAACTTAAAACGGTACTACAAAAAAGATAATGTTATCTTTCAAAAGATTTTAATGAGGCAAAAACCAACTAAAAATGTTAAGTAAAGTAGGGCAAATTTTACTTGACCACCTACGGTTTACTTGATATGCAGCTTGCCCCCTTGTCATTTCGATATAAGCAAATATGCCCCATGTTTGCCCGTGTTTTTTGGACCAAAGTGCACCGTCTAACATTTCATCCAAGTTAACAAGAAGTATGAAATACATGCCTACACATAAAGGGGTTATGTGCTCAAATGTCATGGGTAAACTGCATGTGGACTAAAGTACAAGGGGGTAAAGTGCATTTTTAGCCCCAAACAAATAACGAAAATGCTCGTGGTTTACACAATGAAGTTACTTATATACAAGAGTATTTTTAACTTTTTCTTAAGTCATTAATGGAACAAGCAGTGCACTTTGGTCCACAAATCTCAGAGGGTTATGTGCTTATTTCCAAACACACACAGAGCAAGGGGGTAAAGTGCATTTTTAGCCCCAAACAAATAACGAAAATGCTCGTGGTTTACACAATGAAGTTACTTATATACAAGAGTATTTTTAACTTTTTCTTAAGTCATTAATGGAACAAGCAGTGCACTTTGGTCCACAAATCTCAGAGGGTTATGTGCTTCCAAACACACACAGAGTAAACCACACGTAGGTAAAGTAAATTTGCCCAATAAAGTAATGATTGTAAGGATGTTAGCCACATTATCTGTAATAATTGAGTCTCCTCAACAAATTGAATATATATCCTTAAGGTAGTTATTCAAATCACATCAACAATCTTTTTTCCATAGTTACATATCCTTAATAATATGGGCCATTTACACTTTACTCCCCTCAACTATGGGCAGTTGTCACTTTACACCCCTCAACTAAAAATGGGTACATTTTACTCCATCCCATTGATCTTGTAATTGTTTCAATTTCAACCTTTTGCTAATATTCTATTATGAATGAGGATGAAAAAGTGACATGTGAGCTATATACACAGAAAAATGGCATGGGAGTTGCACATACCAAAATGTCCATTCGATTGATGATTTACTTACATAATCACTTAGTTTCTTAATACTACACATTACTGAAAAGAAGGATACACAATTAAGTTTTCTTAGGATACCCTCTTGCTAGAGTCTTAAGTTGTATATGAAGGGTACACATTTAGTTTCTTAAAGATATACAATTAATGGGAAACAGATACTTGATAATTTCTTAAGGATGAGCAGTTGGTTAGAATACTTATCAAAAAGAGAACCGGTCGTTTAGAACATAATGATCACTAACATGGATTTGATGTAGTTAATGTGAATGTGATTAACTTATTACTAAATTTTAGCTCATTTAACAGTTTCAAACATTTTATCTTCTTCTTTTCTTTTTCTTTTTCTTTTTCTTTTTCTTTTTCTTTTTCTTTTGTTGCGATTATCCTTTTCAGGTCTTGACTAACATTGTATTGAACTAGATAGATGTGCCTGATTGTGATTTTTAACTTTTGCTTTGTCGTTTCGTTTCGGAAGTCCTCCCTCCCCTCTTCCTTCCTCCCCCACTCTCTACTGTCTGTTTTCTATAAACTTGGCTCCCACTTAAAGCTTCTTCCCCCTTCTTAGTTGAGACTCGTCTTGCCCCTCTGCCTGGTCGCCAGTATCTTTTTTGCATGGGTGTTACTTTTGCGCGTTCCCATGCCTATCAAGTGGAAGCCTTAAAAGTTTTTTCTTTTCTTTTCTTTTCATTTTTACAGTTGTGAGTCTTATGAAAATTAATGAATACTTATATTTCTTGTCTATAATGTCTATTATATAGAGCTTTTCGCCAAAATAATATGAAAAAAAATACCATGCCAACAATCATTTGCTCAAATAATTGCTTATTTTATGTATGCTTCTCACAGGTCGATGTTCACCGGAGCTTCATTGATTGAGGTTAGAGCAGCCGGACTGTTGCCTTCCCAACATTTGGCCTACGCACTGTGCAATACTTAAATGAATTCTACGGCTTTGTTAGAAACCCATTGGTCCAACAGTTAAACTAATTAGAGAGGGGTGGGCCTTTTCTTTTTTGTCCCCCACCCCCCTCTTAAAGTGTATCATAGTTTATTCATTGAATTAGAATTTCATTTATCACTTGTCCTCAATGGGAGACACCTTTGACAATCATGGTTTAAGAAAAAACTCCAATGTGACGAGTGTCATCACCAATAAAAAGGTGTCTAATGGCTGTATGGTTGCCTCTAGCCCTAAGTCTTTCTCACAGAAATCACCAAGACCAATAATTTCAAAAAATCATAAAATAATTGGAAGTGGTCCTGCTGGTGAGGCAGCATTGTTTTTACTCAAGGTTGCTTTATTAGAGATAGTACGGAGGTTCTCAAGGAGAAGATTTCCATTTGTATGGTGTGGTATGCGAGCTTTGCAAGTTCTTTGCTATCCACCATTCAAATGGATCCAAAGATGGGTTCCTTTCAAGGGATTGGTGAATAGCATGCAGGTTAGTTCTTACATGTTTTAAATTATTTTATGTTGGGTTTACATTTGGCAATAGCTGTACACACATTAGTATTATCTGATATCTTCATGCAAGCTTCTCGAGGTGCATTATGTATAATAAGTAGCTAATGTGAATAGTGATATGACTAATTAGAAGCATGCTGTTAGTTTATGGCTCGAGGTGAGCCTTCTTTAGATTCTCACTCAGTCACTCTCATAGGCTTATGGTTCAATTTGCGGTGTGATGCTATCAAATGACACAGGTATTGTTTAGTTGATAATATAGCAATATTTATTTCCTTCAATATTTTCCACATAAAGTGACGTTAAATTTAATGTAGATGCAAGGCCTTAAAACCCAAAAAAATTCTAGAGGTTTTCCAATAGAGTTTTGAAAAAGGTTCTTTAACATTGAGGGTTTCCAATATGGGTTCTAATAGGTTTTGAGGCAACTTGAAAAAATGAGGACACTTGAGAACTCTATTAATTTGTAGGGATCTTGTAAAATGTGTCATATTGATGGGGAATTGGAGGGGGAAGGGATCTGTGCCCCTCCCGGTCCTTCCTGGTGTTTACTATGGTTGATCCAACTCGTAATAGAGATCTAGAATGGAATCAGTGGGTACATGGGATTTATCAATTGATTCTTTCTAATAAAAATATTTTGGTATTTACTTTGGACACGATATTTGAAGGGATGAAATAGGAAATGGTACTTTGGATATTTAGGGTATAATGGAATATAATTAATCATATAAATATGAATATAATTAATCACAAAAATATTTGTTGAATTTGAAGATGAAAAAGTTTGAAAGAAAAATTTAATTTTAATTCTCAAGCCAAAGATGTATGAATGGGTTTCCTACTGACGAAATGCAATTTCTTTTTTATTGATAGTGTTGTATCAATTTTATATTTTTTTGGTGTCTTTTTTAATGATTTGGTTATTGCTGTATTGGTGCTTGTGAGTTTCATGACTTTCATTATCATATTATACTTTGTCCAGAATAATTGTGATGTATGCTCTGCTTGTTGATTAATCTAAAAAATACCTTTCAACTTGGCTCTTGATTGTGACATATTTATGTTGACAGACATTATCGAGGCCATTATTAGTCCTTTCTATTGCAACTGCATTCTCTGATCGATCAGGCAGGAATGTCACCTCAATTCCTATTGATGATTCTCAAGGCCTAAATGATTCTGAGGCATCTTCAGAATCACATTCTGAGTTATCTCCTGTGCAGTCCACTCTTGATACAAGGTACAAATGGGAAATGTCAGAATGTTATTTCACACCTTATAACTTCATGGGAAAATGGGTGATGGGCAATATATTGAGTTCAGAATTCATTGAAATGCAGCACTTAAACACATCTGCTTGCTTAATAAGAATGCATGAAGCAGAGTGGGTTGCATCTTATCTATTCTGGTGGCCTAGAAAGGGCAACTTCATATGATTTTGTAATTTTTGGTACACCAATACAATTGTAATGTAGCATTTTTATTAACTTTTGGTGGGCCAGACATGTGAGACGCTTGTGTTTCAGACAGTAGTATGTCTACATAATTTGTGTTGCTATTGTCTGACAATGTCTGTTTTACACCTTGTTTCATACAAACAATTTTTTCAATAAAGACTCTTCTTGGCAAATTGATGAGGATCAGATCAAACACCTCAAACTGTATGCTAGAAGAATAAAAAGGGGGAAAATTACTTTGACCAGGGGTGTTTTGATAATTTTCCAGATCAGGGGCAATTTGGTTTTTGTTTAGGAGATCAAGTCCTTTTTTCTTATTTGGCTTATGTTTGAGTCCTAATCAGTTTGGAAATCCTTTTCCTGCTAGGAGTTTTAAGGCAATCTGAAGTTCAATAAGAGATCAAGTCCTTATTTGGCTTATTTTGAGCCCTAAATTAGACCTTTTCCCATTGGCTACATTACTTTTGGGTTCTCTTCTAATAGGAGAATGTTCCCAATAAAAAGGTGTCTACCTGACTCACATTACGAAACCAACTTTTTTCAAATGAGGAGCTATGCTGAGTTATATCTTAGCTCAGTTTTCTTTTAGGGTTTCTTCCCTTACCATCAACTGTATGTTGGATGGCATCTCTGACTCTGCTGAATGATGTAGAAATGACTTTTGAGATTTATGACATGTTTATTATGAGTTCACAATTACATGTTTTGTTTATCTTTGGACCTTACATCAAACCGGAAGTCATTCCAATTCTTGTTAGGCATTTTAATTCAAAGTTTTATCATTTGTGTCCTGACTTTTGGGTGTCTAACTACTTTCCCTAGCCAATAAATTATATTTCTTTCCTGTGTTTTTCAGGATTCTTGATGAAGCTCCTCAAAGTCAATCATCTACAGATTGGTTGCTTCAGCTTTATGCAGAGCTGGAAAATCAGGGCATTGTTTTACCAGAAAGGTGATTCAACACAATCACAGTACTCAGTAAAAATATTCTCCTATGAAAATTATTCTGTGGACATCAGTAATCAAAGAAAAACTAGTAAATAAATTATTTTCCAATAAATGAATGAAAAAATTCATGAAAAAAGATCCTTGCCTTGTTGGAATGGGGAGAAACCAAAAATTTCTTGTACAGGCACAGAAGAACTCAAAACTTAGTTTAGAGATAAACACGTGAAAGAGAATAGAAATAATTTTTATATGGTCCCTCCAAAAATAATAATGAATAATAAAATATACATGTTTCTAGCTAGCTTAGGCATAAAAGTTAACTGTGTAACCATCTTGCATGACTCTGATCATATTAGGTATCTAGTTGAAACTCATCTTATTTTGGGCAAAATCCATTCTACCCCCATATGGTATGACTCACTCCTCTGACATTTAAAAAAAAACAAACAAGCAACCCTCTTGTGATTTTGGTCCATTTTGCATTGTACCTCCATATAAGGTTACTAATTCTATTCAAATTGACAAAATTTGTGTCACAGGTGCCTAAGTTGAAAGTCAACATGAAAAAAACTTAAGTCAGTCAAAATGCAATGTAAAACGGACAAATATGCCCTTATCTGCATCTTCTTTCCCCAAATCCTAACCCTTACTGTCTTCTCCAAAAATCTAACCTTAAAACTAACAAACCCTAGAGAACAAACTCAACCACCCCATCTCTTCTCTCCTCCACCCTTGCTACCCATTCTCCCTCTCCTGCCACGCTTGAGCACGGTGTGTAGTTTGAACCAAACAAGAAGATAAGAGGACTAATTATCTCTCCAAATAATAGTTTTTATCTGTATCAGTATTTTTAATTGGAGAGAGGGAGTGATAGAGCTTTAGAGAGAGAAGGCATGATGGCTTCAATATTCTCTGCTACAAACTCAATTTCACATTCACATTCAAATTGCATCTCAAACTTTGTTAGTCTCGACCAAAGGAATAGGGACTCTGGGGCTATCCACCATATTATGTAACTGTATATGTAATTGTAGAAATTAGGTTAAACATGTTAAAATGTAAGAAATTAGTTTGAAAAATCCTAGATATGTTTATATGTATGTATGTATGTATGTATATAACAGAAGAGATAAAAAGAGAAATAGCAGAAGGAAAAAGAAGACAGATCAGAGGTGTATTAAGCTCATTTTGAATCTGTAGTGAATGATATTACCCTTGCACTTTAGTCCAAAACCATGTCAGGAATTTTTTGGCTATTTGTAAACGTTGAGGGGATAAAAATGCTCTGAAGCTATACCACAAGGGTGTAAAATGGATTTTGCCCTTGTATGTACCTTTGAACTTTCGATCAGTTAACAGGTTGATTTCCATGGTTAATCTTTAGCACAAAGTCCTATGACTTTGTGATTGGATTGTTTGGCACATTGCTTCCCTTTTCTTTGTAATTATGAATAGATTAAATTTAGTCCAAAAACCCCTGGTGTTTGAGTTATCCCTTCTAATTTTCCTTTATTTTTTTTTTGTGTTTTGTTTTCTGTCTTGGTCTCTGAGTTTTATGCTATGAAAAATGTATTGCTTAGTGCAATTCTGAATCTCAATCTTCTGTGGAACTGCTGTTTTGCTTTTCCTCAACGTCAAAAATTTTCACTCTGTGGTCTTTTTTAATTTAGCTGACACTGACAGATAGCGTCCTCCTCCATCTTATTCTTTTGTATTTTCATTTTCATTGCCCTGACTACTTCATATATGTATTTCTTCTCTTTCTTGTTTGCTTCCCTTGAACATACTTTTATCTTTTTTAGCCTTCATCACCATGGTATAGGCTCTTTTATGTGGAAACTGTCACTTGAACTTCTTCAGTTTTGCATCAGGATTGTTTTCTATGTTGAACATTTATTTGAAAATCTCTAAGGTGTTTGTTTGTTACCCGTTTCTGTGTAGTCATTTATCTGACTCCGCATGTAGGTTTCTTCTTGTACATTCTATTTTTTATCTTCTTCTTTCTTTTTCTTTCTTTTTCTGTAATTTTTAACCCCTGTTTTTGGGGCATTAATTTTTCTCCTCTCAAGTTCCTTTCCCTCCATTTGAAACTTTGACCTCCTTCCTTTCTTCTCATTCTCCTGTCTTGTGTTACATACATCTCTTTTCCAACATGAATCTTATTTTTGTTATAGAGCATCACTTTGAAATTCTCTGAGGTTTTCCTTGCCAGTCTTCGAATACGGTCAATCATCTCATTCCACACATTGGTTTCTTTCTACACTTTTTTTTTTATAATTCTATTTGTATTTATTTTTTACTTTTTGAAGTTTGACATCCACCCGTTACTTTTTCTCTGTTGTCTCGTCTCTTTTTCTTCCAAATGTAATACATACATATGTAATACTAATAGCACTCCGCTAACCTATGGTTCAAATGTTTTACTAGCACCAACTGTACCAGATGAGTAAAAAGATAAAATTCTAGATGTAATTAAATATATATTCCTTGGCAACAGAAACTTTTATTGAATTTTTTGCTTCTAGGTTGAACAGTGAAAAATTTAGCCTGTCCTATCTTCTAATAGAAGTAGAAGCCCTTGCCAGTCTTGAAACAATTGCTTGATACTTCATGATGGATAATGGATTGAATGGAAGGTCAGGGTTAGCCAAAATTCAACTTGACTGAAAAAAGTAAATAGAAGTAGTAATGCCACTACAACCTTTAACATGACTTGCTCAAATTGTGTCAGTTCTCATATTCGGTGCTCATAAACTGCTTATATGCTCTTTTCTTTCCAGATTTTCATTAAGAATCAACCACTTATCCTTATTTCTCCCTCTACATCTAGCGACGTCCTACTAATTACACTTCCATTTTTATCTAATGATGAATTCAGTTGAGAATTTTTTCATATGAGGTCGTCAGTATGCTTCCTTTACGTGGAGACTATTTTGGGGGCAATTAGGCAAAGACCTTTAGCGACTGCAGCAGTGATTTGGGATTCCACTTTATACTTTCAATAATGCTTTACTTACCATCTTTTTGTGCCACATTTGATGAACCACCTCACGTGGCACAACCACAAAGATTGGATATTAATGCAACTCATGCAGGCCCATTACATCAGTGGTTGTGATTGTGCCGTATTAGATGGTATATCAAATGTGGTATAAAAAGCTTGTAAATGTAGCATTATCATTATATTTTCTGTATTTATGTTTGAGTTTCCTGGCTTCTCTTGTTGCAGCGGAGCATGACGTAATAGTGTTTATGCAGAATTAACGAGGATGAACTCCGGAGATTTTATATTACTTCAAATGGTGATTTTTCATGCTTGCTATCATCCGTTATAAAGACAATCCGTTGGAGAGAGACTTATAACATTCTTTCAGGACAAGAACTTGAGATGTGGTCAAATATGGTCTTTTGGCATGGAATTGATATAAAGTACAGGCCCTGCCTTATTGTACGCCTCGGACTAGCTTGCACCAGCTTGCCATCTCATGAAATACCTCGCTTTGTTCAAGCTGTTGGTATGCCCATTTTCCTGTTTCAGTAAATTTTTGGTTTTGCCTACAATGAGTTAAAAATCAGCACTTCCGAATTCCTGACACCTAAATATAAAGTGCGCAATTTTAGTTTGGGTAAACTACTAATAGGTCTTAAATAGTTGAATTTAATTCACATCAAGTCCTATTGAAAATAAGTTCTAGTAAAATCGTCCCTAAAAATAATTTTTTATGACGATTTTTTGCATGTCACTAAAAATTAACAATTAGGCCTCGTTTGGCAAGTGGCTTTTTTAGCCAAAAAGCCAAAAAGTCACTAAAAAAATTAAAAAACCAACAACCCATACCAAAAAGTCAAAGATTCTCTTTTCTCTCTACTTTTTGCGCATCTTTTCGTAAAAAGTCAAAAAGTCCTCCCAAACATACTAGTTTTTTTTAGCTCATATTTTAACTAAATAGTCAAAAAGTTACTAAATTAGCTTGTTCTCAAACGAGGCTTAGTGACTTTTTTTTGTCATGATTTTTATAAATTGTCGCTAAAACTTACAGTTAGTGACATTTTTCTGTGTCAAATTTTCAAACTGTCGCTGAAAGTTAAAAATTAGCGACATTTTTTTGTGATAATTTTTTTAAACCGTCACTAAAACTTATAATTTGTGACATTTTTTGTGACAATTTTCAAACTGTCGTTGAAAATTAACAATTAGTGACTTTTTAATAGTATTTAATGAAAAATGTCATTAATTATCATAAGACCTATTAAACAATAAGTTCACCTATTAGGACTTACACATAAACCTTTCTTTTAGTCCATCATTTAGAGATGGATTCACATGGGTTTTTCATTGTGTGAAGGTATATGGGTAGTAGCGGAACTAGAAAATTTATCCATGACTGGCAAAAATGGTTTGAAACAAAGATGGCTTAAAGATACACCTTTAGTCAAAACTGACCCCCACTCGTGACAATAAAAAATGACAACAATATAAAAACACACCTAACAAGAATACAATTCAAAGGCAGATAAAATGGCTTGAAATTCAAAATACAACCTGTGAACTTGACACTGGAGCTAAGAATATAATTTTTTTCCAGATTTACTTCAAACTAACAAAAACTTTGAAAGGTGCTTAATTTACTCCATTTGTAAGTATGAAATTCTATTTTTCTTCAATGCATTCAAAGATTCAAGGGGTATCTTTAAAATATTAGAAGGGACAAATTGAAAATTTCTATTGTAACTATAGATAAAAATTACAAATTTTATTGACTTGAAGGGGGCACATGCCCCTCCTGGCCCTCAAGTAGCTCTGCCACTGTATATGGAGACTTGTTTGAAATTCTAGGACATACCTCATTTCTCACATTGTTTATCTCAAATGGCCTCTTTGTGAGGAATTATGTTCCTGTTATCAACTGATAGTGAGAGGAAAGAAAGTAAAGAATAGAGAAGGGGTTGCTGGTGGGCGGGATTGATTGGGTTGTAATTGCTTGCTAATGAAGTAGTAAAGTATTAGTAAGGATTTCATATGATTAAAAAACATTTGTGCTTTGTCTTTTGACCAGAAGGTCTTGTCATTTAAGCTTTTCAATGGATTATGCACAAATACATAATAGGAATATATTTGATTTGTTCGATATGATGGTAGCGCATGATAAGCATCTAGGTACTTAACTTTCCTTTTTTGTACTCCCTCAATTTTAATTTCCCCAAACAAAAATAATAATATGGTCATAGTTATTTATACGTTGATGAAACTTTTATCTGTAAGTGCCATTAGTTCTTTGCTTATTTTGTGGGTTACCATTAATTTCACATTTTTGTAATATTTGAATCATAATCAGCAATTAAATGACTTGGATCAAAAGATTGTGGAGGCATTAGGTGGAATTTGAGTGCTACCATTAATTTTATATTGCATGTTCTATTTCTATATATAAGTCAGGTCTTGGTGGTTTGGGAATTGATTATTTTAATTTATTTTTTGGCTTTTTACGAAAGATGTGCAAAAAAAGTATAGAGTGGTGTGATAATTTGTGGTGATTTTTTGGCTAAAATAGCCTATCCCCAAACGGGGTAGATGATAGGAATGCTTTTCATAATCAGCTTGTCTCGGCTCTTGAATGATCAGTGCTATTGTTAGAGGAAATTTTTTATGTTAGTTTTTCTTTTTTCTTTTTTTAGTTAGAATTGTGTTTACTGATTTTGCTTGACTAGCAATGATTTCAAATAATATTACTATTACGAAATCAAAGGATGAGTTGTGTTAAGTGTGAGTCAGTCTGAAAGTTATACTTTTCCGTTGATGTGAAACACCATCTGATCTTTAATTGTTGCAATGGCAGTATCTCAGGTAGAGCACGGAATTCTGCATTTAGTTGACCCTGAAAATTCTCGAATTACTGTTATAGTGGATTGCAAAGGGTTGTCACCTCTGAGAGTTCCCATGCAATTAATGAGATCATGTTCCGCTATCTTTCAAGATCATTATCCAAACCGTCTTGGCTTTTTGTTTGTTATTCGGCTTCCTCCAATTGTTCGTGTTATTGCACAAACTTTTATTAAAGTAAGCTCCTTACCCTTTCTAAGGATTGAATGATTACACACTTTCACCTTTCTCCATATTTTCTAGATATGATAGTTGCAAACACGATTAGCGTTGCAAATGAACCGATCCATTCGCGAGCTCGACTTAGCTCAATAAGATGGGGTCCAAATTTTTAGGCTCGTTTGAAAAACGAACCTAGCTGGAGCTAATAAGCTCAGCTTGTTTATTATTTAGTTAAATAATAAGATAAACATATTATATATGTATTAATTAATATAAAATATATTATATATTTATCTTTAATATAGAATAATATTTAATGAGAAACCGAGCTTGATTTTCGAGCTTGAGCCCTACAAAGCTCAACTAGGTTTGGCTCATCTATATTCCTAGCTTGGATGTTCGTTCATGTTCAAATGTGGCTTGTGGCTCTTCCTCAGGTTTTGAAACCAGAAACCCAACAAAAGCTGAAAATCCAAGGGGAGAAGTACCAGAAGCTTCTCACGGAGAACTTAAAGACACTTCCGGCATATCTTGGTGGCAATTGCACATGTACAAGATGTTCAAACCTCAACATCTCCAAAACTTGGCTACCTCGAATCAACAAGGTGAAGATCAACGGGACACAGAGAAAAGTGGATATTGTCCGCACTAAGGACGCGTCATTGCCTCATCTGAGTTATCGAACTGATATCCGAATGAATGGCAACTGTGACCGGGTTTTCCAAACTATTGTGGTAGGAATCCTCATATTCTGGGTTCTGATTGCTTTTGTTGCCGGAATATATGATCCGGAAAGCAGTCAGACTTTACCATCCTGAGGTAAAAGGTGAACCAACCCTTTTTGTTTTCATTTCCCTTTGGTTTTTCCTATGATTGTGTGTGCATATGTCATACGATTTTAGTTTGATTGCAATTGGTCTGTAATAATTTGCTTGTTATATGTGTGTGTGTTTTTTTTTTTTTTACGGTTTTTGAGCATTTAGTTTTTTTTGTTTGACCTAGGATATTCCTAGTTTGTTTGTTGTTTTGTGTAATAAAAGTAATTTTACCAAAAATATATATAAATAATTAAATTGTATTAGTTGTTTGCTTTCTACTCATTTGAATGCCCTTTATTAAAAATTGAATGAGAATATGCTATTTTATTTAATTTTAATGTAAATTTGTTCTGGATTGAAGAGTTGTCTTACCTTGGCGGAGAAATATTCGTAGATTAAAATTTGTAATACTAGCATGTAGACTGACATAATGCGGGTGCAAGTAGATGGTCGGATTGTGTTTTGAGTTTTCAAATGACTTTGGGCAACCATATTTTATAGACATCCATGTTTTCTAGTTTACAAACAAGATGGTAGAAATGTGGAACTCTCTCAAACTATTTCTACTTTGACAGATTGATTCAAATTACATTTTGAGTAAATTACATTTTTCACTTTTATGGTTGGATTCAAAATTCACTTAAAAGTTTTTAATTTGAAAATTTTGGTTCTTATATTTTAAGTTGAGTTTTAATTTGGTTATTATGTTCAATTGACTTTCAATTTTTTTTATGTGTACACTTCAACAGACTTGATACACGTAACAAAATTGTAAATTTTAGCATCTAATACAAACAGGAGGATCAAATTAAAATGGAACTTAGCCATGGCGGATTTACAAATTTTCAAATTGTTTTTTATACCAGCAAGACCAGAAAATATTTTTTTATCAAGAATTTTATCTATAATTATCATTTTATGTTATAGTTTTGTTCTATACATAGTCCCATAAAACACTAATTCAATTTCTACGGCATAATCGTAAATTTTTGGGACACTGTTTCTGGGAAAGTAGCTGTTTTTATACTGCTGTAGCAGCAACTAATATTTAAAATTTTTAAATAATGTGCAATGTACACTCTTATTTAATATTTTTTTTCTCACTTTAAACATAAAGTAATCGACAATGCTATGTAACTCAAATTTTGTGGCTCAAAAGTGGTTCAAATGGCCAAAACGACGTCGTTTTGAGTACAGAACAACATAAAAATAGCCAAAACGACGTCGTTTTGGCCATTTGAGTCACTTTTGAGCCACAAAATTTGAGTTACGAGACATTTTCCTAAAGTAATATAATAGAATTCACATTAATAAATACCGATTCCGCTATGTAGCTCGAAATGGAGCCCCTGGATGTCCCGAATGTGATAATAGTGGTTCTTCTAGTCTTTGGCCCAGTTGCACAAAAATGCGTGACACCACACGTTTACAAACAAGGAAATAGAAGAAGAGAGAGGACCTAGTCGACGAATCTGTTGAACTACCAGCGCTGACCACCGACCTAGATGACCACTGAAATACTCCCTTCGCCGTTTGCCGTCAACATGTTTGTGTTTCTGTTCAACACCGAGATTTTTTCGAATTGAACAAGCAAGTACCCTCTTTTGTAATATGTATATACTAGCATATGTCCGTACCTAAAAGTACGGTGTAAATAATTTTAAGATTAAAATACAGTTATAATTTATACATATTATGTTGAAATTTGTGTCATTTTTTGATAAAAATACTGAAAAAATATATTGAACAATTTTGCTTGTATTATACGCTCTACAAAACTCAAATAAAATAATAATTCCCCCTAATCTTAATGCAAATTAAGAAACAAACATATAAGATTTAAAGTTATATTGCATATCAAAATATAAAATACAGTAAAAAAAATTGTAAACACTGAACAAAAAACAAAAATTAAAATTATATTGTCATACACCAAAATAGTGGGTTTCAACTTTAAAAAAAGTGGGTTAAAGCTTTTCAAAATATGTATACTTTACAAAAGATGTATCAATAATATGTCTTTAAATATGTGTTTGCCCAAATTTCCTCCTCATTACTTTTCAAAAAGTCTTTGTATCAACTTATATGTATCCCCAATGAGGAATATGCACAACAATCTGGTAATTTGTGAAAACAAAAAAAATATATATTAGTATATTTGTTGGAAATATACATGTCAAAATACTTTGAGATTGAAATTACCTTATTACATCACATCGAAGCAAGTTAGTCGTATTTCTCCTTTTAAGCTCTATAGATTTTTCGGTCCAATCCTACAAAAGTCCAAATTTCAAATTATTATAAAAAGTTATATAATCAATAGAAATAAATCTATATAGTCACCTTCTAATACTACAACAACACTTCAGGATAAACAATATTTGTAGGAGAATCAAAACTATCTTTAGGGAGGAGAATACTTATACGATCAAAGGATGTACATCTAGACAATGCCACATATAATTGTCCATGTCTAAACACTGGTATACGCAAATCAACCCCAACAAATTTCACAGATTGTCCTTGAGATTTATTAATGGTCAAGACATATGCCAATCGGACTGGAAATTGACGTCTTGTCATTTGGAAAGACATTTCTGAAGAAGATGGTGTCAAAGATATCCTTGGTATGAATGCCAAATTGCCAAACTTTTCTCCAGTTAAAATTTGAGCTTCAATTATGCGAGCGTTGTACCTAGTAACCATCAATCTTGTACCATTACATAGTTCATCTTTTGGTGCAATGTTTCTCAACAATATTATAGGACAACCCACTTTCAACTCTAACTTAAAAGTTGGCAGCCCAGGAGGATCCAATGAATTTAAATATTCATTAGGATATCTATTTGTAATGGTAGGATCAATTTCATATCTATTTGCAATGGTAGTGAAAATCCTAAGTGATTCATGATTAGATCAAGATTAAAATATTTCAAATCTCAATTATTCAAAACACGCAATCTAAATCATCAAGCACTTACAAAAGTGATTTAGATTGTTATTTTTCTGAATAAACTATAAATCGACACAAACGATTTTTACGTGGAAAAAACCACAATTGAAGAACCTTTAATTGTAATCAAAAACCACAGGCGAAACGCCACTGATCAATCCACTACTGAAGAAAGAAAGATTACAAAGATAATACACAAATTACCCAACTCAGTCAATTTGTCTTCGAATCTTCTGTAACTCTTTCACCATGCCTTCGTCTCGGAACTGATCAATCCTGAAGTTGAATCCACAACTTTACTTGTCGAATTAACGACTACGTACAGAATCAAACGCCTTTTGAAACTGTATGCTTGAATCTTCAGAATCCACCGAAGAGAACTCTCTCTTGAATTTAAAGTAACAAACTCCTTGATGTGTGTATCTTAGATCATGAGTAAAGAACTCTTCTCAAAACATCAAGGAAAACTCACAAAAACCTCAGAAGAAAACTTCAAATAAAACCCTAGGACTCTTGAATAAGATCTAGGAAAACGTAAAACCTAAAATCAACCTAAACATGTATAAATAGGCAACCTGAGTCCGCGATCTCCGCTCGAGCACCTAACATCCCGCTCGAGCGGCTTCAGCAAAATATGCATGTGACAAAACAGAGTTCCGCTCGAGCGCTTGAGAACCCGCTCGAGCGCGAAATCACACCTTCCAGTATTTTTATAGACCTGACAAAATACTGAGAGACCCCAATCTCCGCTCGAGCGCCAATGGTCCCACTCGAACGGGAAAGACAAAAACATAGAAAAAATTATAACTTTTTCAATACAAAGTTTTGTACCCGGATTTGACAATAAAGGAACCTAACAGGTAGGATCAATTTCATTATCTTCAGACATTTTATCTGCTGCAAGATAAGTACATAATCTCCTTGGAAAGATATTCAACGCAGTAGTATTAATGTCACTGACATCATCGTTACGCGCAGACAGAATTGTGCGTTCAGTTAAAAATGTTGGGGTTGACATCTTTATCATATTCAATTGTGGATAAACTGTAGAGAGTAATTCATTCAAATCTTGATATTTGTGTATTATTGATGGAAGGTTAACGATTTCTTGAGAATTGGTCCTAATCTTAAAAAAAATGAAATCATTAAAAAAGTAAGAGTGTAAACACAATTTATTAATTTAAAATAATCTATATAATAAAGGTTAAAGTAGTGTTACCTCCATCAAGAAATTTGCAAAATTAGCATTTTCATGGCCTTCATGATTCAAGCGCATATTCAAATCCAAAGTTAAGATATATATATATATATATATATGCTTCCATAGAACAGAGTGTCTTAATGATGCATTCACAATTTGCTCATAAACTCCTTTGGGTATAACTGGTAAGATTTGTCGAAAGTCTCCACCAAGAACAACAGTAATACCTCCAAATGGCTTTTCACTATCACAGATATCACTCAATGTACGATCAACCGCCTCAACACAATGTTTATGTTGCATAGGAACTTTATTCCAAATTATGAGTTTTGTTTCTCTAAATAACTCTGTTTGTAATGATTGTTTGCTAAACTCACAAAGTGAATTTTCCAAGACATCTAACGGAATGGAAAATGTTAAATGTGCAGTGCGACCTCGTACCAGTAACAATGATGCAATTCCAGACGAAGCCACAGTAACAACGATATGCCTAAGGCTGCGAAATTTTAATGCAATCGTATTGTACAGAAATGTTTTCCCTGTTCCAACACCCCAATTCAGAAAGAAAGCAGTTTCTTTATTTTGAAAAACTGAAGAAGTGATTGTGTTATAAGCATTCCGCTGTCCATTATTGAGACAATCAATAGTAATTTGTGGATCTACATGTTGTGCCTCACTCTGTAGTTGTTGATGCTCAAATATCAATCGATTACCAACTACTGCACTCCAATTTGCAGTAGGTTGTGACATGGGTGGGAAGTCAATTAAACTTTTGCCTGATTCATGAAGCATTTGGTTCAATAGATAGAGACTATAATCTTTAATTTGAGCCTCAATTGGTTTAGAAATAACAAATAATGTACGAATCTTATGTGCAAGATCATCACATATATGCGTTGAAAATTGATTCCATAATGCACATGGATTTATAACTGAGTGAGAATAATACTAAACAATCTCCTCAATTGATATCCAGTTTTTATAATTGGAGCCTCTTTCAAGCATTGTATCCATTCTTCATCATCTTCTAAAAGCCCCCTTGCAACACATGCTAATTTAAATGTATCATGAACAACATTATCGATCGTGCGTAAAGACTGAAACGACTTTGGTCCTTTGACAATGGTTAGTAACAAACGCAGATAAAATCTTTCACCATAATTAGGGCTAGCAAAGTACATTCTACCAATTGCATATCCCCTTTCTCTTGATTTCCATCTCTTTTCTGACTTGAGCCAAACAAAATGTTGTGGAAATTCTTGATAAGTGAATGGACATTCATCTTCACTGGCAACACAATATGCAAAGAAGCCAGTAAGAGTTGACATTTGTTGACCAGCTCTAGATTGAATCGTTTCTAATGACTCTTCTGGGTTAAAAACAACGCGATGCATTCCAGGTAAATGAAGTGCCAATCGTACAACTGTTGGCATCTCTGTATGTAAAGGATGACCAAATATTCGCCAAGCAGCTTCTAGAGGTCCAATGTACCTTGCATCGAGATATTGTTGAATCTCATTTATCATTCCTAACACTATCGTTATACGATCATAACCCTTATAAATGTACTTATGTATATACTTGACGCATCTCATTTCGGCACAAACTTCCACATTTATATGACAGTTGAAAAGTTTTGAAAGATATGCATTGTATGGTACGACATCCCTGTTATCAACTTCTTGTCCCCTCACAATATGTACTTGACCATTACTGCGACGGCGATAGATAGGGTATCCATCTTGATCTATAGTTGTTGTTTCTGTGAAAGCTCAATGGTATCTCTTAATGCATCTACCATTTTCTATACATGGTGCTTATGGATTTCGAGCACCACATGGTCCATGTACCATACAACATTTGATAGTTTCAAAAAGTATAGGATCACCTTTTGGGTCTGGAAATTCTGCACAGACTAATTTGTCTACTTGAGCACATGTCCGAATTTTGTCTAGCCCTTGAGAAATAAAAGTGCATGCATATGAGGGAGGCCTCGTTTTTTAAATTCAATTGTAAAAACATGTGCAACTTTATTTCCAAACACTTTATTTGTTTCTATCTCTTTCATCAAACATTTTCTCTTCAACTCAAAAACACGGGCAATTAAATCAGGACGGTCAATAGGTTTTTGATATGGTAATAATGCTGAAGTAATTTCTGGCCAATTGGGATTTGCAGTCATGGTAAGAAAAATATCTAGGTGTTGGTTGTATGGTGTGATAGCCATTGAATCTTGAAAGAATTCAAACATATGTCTAGGACTACTAGTAAATGAAGATGAAAAAACAAACCTTTGACCAATTTGACCAGGTCACACATAATCTGGATCCATATCTGACAACTCTTGGTAAAGCTCAGCCCGAAGTTTCCCTTGATTAAGCTTGTAGTATGTCAATCGATTTTGCTCAGTTACAGCCCAAGCATCTACCAAAAACTCTTGAAATAGTTTCCCACCTCTCAAAATTGTTGAATACTCTGTGGGTCGTTCAAACAAACGATAACTACAAAAATCCATTTGAGTAAGTCGATCAGTTGAAGGTCGATCATACTAAACGTTCCACAATTTCAACTCAGGTTTCCATCCAAGCTCACTATATAGAAATAATAGAACATAATGTAATGGCAAGTATGCTGGGCGGCATTTATTAATTTGCATCAACTCATTATTTCCTCGGAAATGTAAGATAATATCTCTCATTTCATTTACCTCTGTTCCATCACCTGGTATTACAATTGCAATCTCATCTGTAGTTGGTAGGTTATACAGGCATCGATCAGTTGTTGAATTGTAATGAAGATGAGCAGGTAGATTGTGTCATGCTGAGTCTAATTGATGTAAAATGATATGAGCCTGGCAATATTTATCTACAAATGCATTGACTTGCAACAAACTATCCTGAATAGTTTTGAGAACATCACTTCTCAAGTTAGGATTTCTACGATTACGAATTTCTAAAGCTGAATAAGGGTCATAGATATACAGCTAAGCATAATTCGCATCCTGCCCTAGTTGTGGTTGTAGTGATTCTGTTCGATGTCGCAACTCCCCATGAATTGTGAATGATGCAAGGCCCCTTCCACTGAGTACTCTAGGATCCAATGTAGCACTAAGACTCGTAAAAGCATTGGCTGTATTGTACACTTGAGTATAACTTCGAAAAGATTTTGATTGATCATTATTCCTATCATACAATGCCTGAAGCGGTGGAGGGGGTGTAATAAGTAAAGGTAGCCTAATATTTTCTTCTAAACAGCAAGTTCCGAATAAGGGACGCTTCATAGATGATTTTGTCAATTTTTCATCCATCCAATGTAAGGCTGTACAATAAGGACATATGTAGACGTCCCCGAACGCCCCGGGAGGGTGAGTCCCGTTCTGTTCGATATTATTGGGGTCACTACAGCTCAGGACTCTCCAAATTTGTCACGGTTCTAAGTCTGAACCAAAGAGTCCAAATCCGGCAAATCGTTTTGAGAAAACAGATTTTGAAAGAAATGCCAAACATGGACTGCTTTGCCAGATACAGAGTCGCCACCTAAATATTTTTTAAATAAGAAATTTGGGAAACCCTAACTCATTGCCTAAGGCCACGTGTCCGTCATCACCAAAGTTGCCTCGGCTCGGAAACTTGGGTACGATTGGGGAAGGTCACTTCGTGAGCACCCCCGCTCGCCCGGTCAGAGACCGGCCTCTACTAACCATGACATCTATTTTTGAAAACATTGTATGTTCTTATTCCGATTTTTAGCCTAGGTTACTATGTGATGCGCACAGCATATAAGTATAGACTGGATCGCCTGATTTGGAAGAAAACATTTCATGTTTGTTTTTAAAAGATGGTTTGCTACTCGCAAGTAGGCTTAAAATGCAGATTTTGCCACCCTCGGGTGGGCTTAGAGAAGATAGTTTTGCCACTATCTAGTGGGCTTAAAACAAACAGTTGATGATTTATTCCAATCCAAGTAACCCAACCTTCACCCACAAGCACTCAAGCAGTTATATCACATAAGCAATTAGCCTCATGGTAAGCATGCTATTCATGGCAGTCACTCACACGCATGCAAGGATGCTAAAGCATAAAACTCACCGAGTACTCCAAGCCAAAAAAAAAGAGACTACATTAGAAATCATGTATGATCCTAAGTATACAGAAATACCTAATGCAACACATGCAAAAATGCAAACTATAGCAGGCTCGGCTATTTTAAACATGGCATATGAAATGCTACAGCTAACATGTATTCAATTTGGAATTGAAATATAAATGCAGTTAGTATGATGCGCCGAGCCCGGTGCATGCAAAAACAGATGAATGATGCAAACATGCTGTCATACTGTATGCTAATTGAAATATGCCTTAATCTTACCATCATAAACGGATAAATAAAAGGGAAAAAGACGTGGGGTTGGAAAACATACAACACACACACGCACACTTATTACAACATTGCCCTCGCGTAGAGGGTCCGAATAAATATACAGTCCCGAATAAAAGAATATTACAGTCCAAATATTACAGCCCAAATAATATACTCCCTCCGTCCCAAAATAATGGTCCCTTTTGGGGAATCCAACTTTTTTTGGTAGTACAATTATTGTACTTTTCAAAAGTTGATTTTCCAAAATTACCCTTTGATAGTACACTTTTTTGAGAATATCAATGTCATAATTGTACTTTTTATAGTATTTATGAATTTAAAAGAAGGGCAAAATGGGAAATTTATATTATTTTTGTACTTGATTTTTGAAGAGGGACTAATATTTTGGGACAATGAAAAATGGAATAAGGGACTAATATTATGGGACGGAGGGAGTACAAATTCCTAGTTAATTAACAAATTAACTAAGAAAACTGTAAAACTGGCGTTCAAGCCAGGGACTGCCTTACTCCTGATGAATGATGCATGTCTGGGCTGCCTTGCGCGGAAATCCACTGGGATGCCCCAATTAGCCTCTGTTTACACTTTTTCTTGAAATGCGCGCCAAACTCCAAAAAGTTACTGAGGCCTCGTTTGGGAACAGGCTAATTTAGTAACTTTTTGGCTATTTGGCTAAAAAGGTAGGTAAAAAAAACTTGTATGTTTGGGATGACTTTTTGGCTAATTACGAAAAAATGTGCAAAAAGTAGAGAGAAAAAATAATCTTTGACTTTTTGGTATGGGTTGTTGGCTTTTTGGCTAATTTAGTAACTTTTTGGCTAATTGGCTAAAATAGCCTCTTGCCAAATGAGGCCTGATTCTTCATTTTGCTGCAACAAAGAGCAGGAAAGGGGCATGGCAATGTATTTTCACAGATATATGCATGCCTCGATCCTCGTGCCACCAATCACGCATATCGATGCATGATGGCAGAGGAGTCGAAATGTGCAACTTAATATAGAATGAATGCACGTGTAAACACAACAAGAACCTAACTCCATCATGGGTAATCCGGAGTGTCGGTGACTGGGAATTGAGACACGTTCCGTCACTCGGAGTACGAAGCGCACCTCGTTTCCCGTGCCCGGGCTAACTCCTATCCCGAACACGATGCAATATGCATGATATGCATGAATGCAACTAAGATACAGCCTAGTATGCACAATGCTGTAAAAAAGAGATGCCTCGAAATGCGTGCACGCGGGCTCGCAAACCGAGAAAATGACATACGCAATACAAATGACATGAAAATATGATATGGGCTTACACTAACATGAGAGAGCCTCAGCCACGCTCACATAAGAGGCCGATGGATGAAAATGAAGTGCCTCGAAATGCGTGCACACGGGCACGCAAACCGAGGCAATGGCATACGCAATGCAATATGGCTAAAATGGCATATAGAATGCAACATGGACTTATACTAACATGAGAGAGTCTCAGCCGCACTCACATAAGAGGCCGATGGATGAAAATGAAGTGCCTCGAAATGCGTGCATACGGGCACGCAAATCGAGACAATAGCATATATAATGCAATATGGCTAAAATGGCATATAGAATGCAACATGGACTTATACTAACATGAGAGAGCCTCATCCGTACTCACATAAGAGGCCGATGGATGAAAATGAAGTGCCTCGAAACACGTGCACACGGGCACGCAAATCGAGGCAATGGCATATGCAATGTAATAACATGGAAAATGATATGAAAACATGATAATGGAATTTCAGCACTGAAATGTGGGGGAAAACAGCCCCGAAATGAGGCGAAAACACACCCGATGCATGGAATAGTCCCGAAACATGGATTTTGGCACCCGAAATGGCCTATAGCTATACCAAACATGCACAATATGGACATGCAATGAATAGACAGTAGCAAGGCAGCCCCAAAATAAGCATTTTTCCAGTTCAAAGCATGGCCAAACAGCAAACATAAATAGGGCAAAACTAGTATGCAAAAATGGCCCTAAATATGAGGTTATGAAGCAACTCACAGCTGCTGACCTCAAACAGGTTAGGGCCCTTCAACAACATTGAAGAGGGGCCCAAAATAAGCCACTTTACAGAACTGTAAAAACCCCAAAAACAAACATAGGTATG